ATCAATTTTTTGGAAGAATTTGAATTGTTCAAATTACTTAAGGGATTATATGTATATTGATACATTATAATATATATAGTTAATTGTAAATTAAAGCTATATATTATGAGAGATATTATTTGAATGAGATTCAAATAAAATTAATATTAATGAGATTCATATTAAAATTAAGGGTTAAAAATAATGTGCATGAGATGTACATTAAAACTATAGTTTATACGAGAGAAATGTTTTAGAATATGATTCTAATTTTATAATAAATAATTAAGTGTTAATTATTTATGTGTATATATATTTATTAATTATTAATTGGATTAATAATTAATTATATTAATTAATTTGATTAATTAATTTTATATATATATTAATTATTATATATATATTATTATTATATATATTTTTTAATTATATTATATATATATTATTATTATTATTATTATTATTATTATTATTATTATTAATATTAACTCCCCTGCAAAATTGCAGGGGAGTGGGGGGTTGCTGTGACGTGGGGAGTTACCCCACGTCATAGTTCTTCTTCTTCAATGGTTGAAGAAAACAGAACACAACTAAGAAAAAAAAAAGACAACTCCCAGATCTCTCTCAAGAAAAATTCTCTCAATCTCTCCCTCTCGTTCCAAAGGATTGCTTCCACCAGCACGATCCCGAGACCCAAGAGGATAGCGAGGAAGACATAGTGGTGGTGTTCGAGGGAAACTCGTTGAAGAAACGTTCTTCAAAGGTAAAGTTTCCTCTGTATTTTTCTTCTTTGAAATTCGATTTTGTATCCCGAAAATCTGCTTCCGCTCCGAGAATCACATCCCTTCAAGTGGGTTATAACTGTATCTTATTTAGGCCAACATGTTAAGTTCTATTAAACTGATTCGTTTGTGTTCCTTTGAATTTTTTGCAGGTTTACAATGGGTCATGAGATGAGGATAAGTGAGCATGACCGTTTTCCTGCTCAAGCTACCAACTTGTCTCACTTGAGCAATGTGAACAAGTTGATCAATCACAAGCTCACAGAAGCACAGCTTGATATGTTTTGCATAAGAACAATCTTTGGTCGTTTTGTTGACCTAGATATGATGTTTTGTAGTGGTATAGTTCATCACTTCTTGCTAAAGGAGGTGGTCGACAGTAGTGAAGGTAACATGACCTTCAACATTGCTGGTAATATGTTGATGTTCTCAGGGGACCAATTCCTACTTATCACAGGCTTGTGGCGACTGTCTGGTAAGGTCACACAGAAGAAGATTCAAAACAACAGGCTGCGGAGGAAGTACTTCAATGATGAAGTCTCCATCACATTTGCAGAGGCTTACGAGCAAACTGTTTTTGAGGATGATGAGGATGCTGTGAAGTTGACATTAATGTTGTACACTGACCTTGTAATGATGGGGAAGAACAAGGGCAAGACAAAAATTGACATCGAGTTGTACACCAAAGCTGAGGACTTGGACTACTTCAACCATATGGATTGGGGTTCCGATGTTTGGAGTACGGCGCTAGACGGGTTTAAACGTGCAATGAATGGTAAACTTGACTTGTACAAGAAGAAGGTTAGCGGGAACAAGAAATACCACGTGAAGTACAGCCTAATGGGATTTCCTCTTGCATTCTAGGTAATAAATACGTTTGTACTACTACCACACTGTTGTCTATTAGTTTTTTATAACGTCTACATGAGTGTAACTGACCTCTGGTATCATCTTGTGTTTTAGGTGTGGATATATGAGGTCATCTCATCTCTAATTAGTCCTGGTGTTACTCAGTTGAGTAATGCAATCGTTCCCCAGATACTTTGATATTCTTGCAACAGAGTTATTGGTACGAGAGGATTAGGTGACGAGGTACTGATTGTCGCTGAGGTAAGCAAAGTTAAATTAAGTTTCATGTACACCTAATGTATAATATGTTTATTGCTACAGAACTTGACTTAATTGATTTTGACATCCACACTTGCGATATATGTGTAGCTAAACATCTCTTATCCATTGATGGAGACGGAGGCGAAGAGGGCTTACCGGATGTCTCCATCGTAAGGAAAAGATGTTGTGGGCATAACAACTGTTAGGGGTTCTACTTCGGACACCGAACATTTACATGCATCTTCCCCCACTACAGGTAATGTTGTAGGTGGACAGTATCCCCAGTCGATAATAAGCTCGATTCGCACACGGTGGAACCGACCTTGAACACAGTAGTGGACATTGAATCGGCCGACATGACACGTACAGAACCCCTTTCAGAAGCAGGCCGACGTGCAACGGGTCAATCGCTGACTGTTTCCATTCGTAAAAGTTCAACGAACCACGAGTCGAGCTCCTCGAATGTCGTCACGCGATGCTGATACCGAACAATGGGACGACACTCGTGGATATAACGATAGATTCGAGAATATTGAATCAAGGTTGGAACGTTTAGCATCGGACGTTGGGGAAATGAAGGTGTACGTAGAAGACATCCTGGCCATGAAATCTGACCTAAGTCACATCAAAACTATGCTACAACGACTATGTCAGGTAACTTCTTAGACGAACTAGTACCTTACTTCCGCGTGCATCGGCTCTGTACAATAACAATAAGTTGCTATTACAGATCAATGGTTTCAAGGTCGACATTGGTATCTCCCCGACCACTGGAGTTCCAATCTCACATCTATCGTCATCCGATGAACTATGCGATATTGATGCTGATACTATTCGTCGGCCACTTGGAGGAGGATGTAGGTGTCGCAGCAGGTAATTCTGGACAGGTAGATTTAACTGATGGTTGTCATATAAATGATCAACCTGTGGAGTTTGCTAGGACTTCTTCTACTAGATGCATGGATGACCTTTCTCTAACAATCCAGCAAGTTGAGCATAGTCTATCCCAATCTGGTCCAATTACATTTATACAATCTGACCCCACTTATGCCACACATATCATTAACAGTGTGGACCCGACATTGACATCTACTACCCCACAAAGTGATGTGCCGAGAACAGCCGACTCGACCATTACGTCTGTTGGTCCTGCTATTGAGTAGCAAGACCTTCCATATACTACCACCATATAAGACCTTCAACTTGATCTGACCATCACCTCTGCACAAGAAATCCGCAGCCCTGATTCTACCGATTCGCACGTAGTTGTAGTATCCGCCTTAGAACCGGTCCCCCAACCATTAACCATTCTACCCCATACGACGGACGATCGAGAACTCAACCTTAGAAAAAACCTACCACTATTCAATTTTCGGCACCCCGAACAGCCGCTGCATCTGCAAGTGGATCACGTGAACCCGAACCTACTATTATAAAGAAGAACGTGCATAAGAAGGTTGCATTGAAGCCACCCACGAAGACCGAGGTACACAATAGTACATGTGTTTGGCTATCCATCTAATATGTAAACAAACATATGATTGTTTAAATTCAATTGTGCAGACTCTAGATGCCATTGAAATCCGAAGAGGTGAGCGTAAGCGGACGGGAGCGAAACCCTTTAGCCCAGAGGGCAACGATTGTAAAAAGAAGAAAGTGAAGGTAAAGGTTAAGCCGAAACATGCTAACCAGGGTAAGCCATTCCGCCCCAAGTACGACCCATTCCATAACGTTTGTGACGATGTGTACACAAAGATGATTGGTTAGGTACGAGATCGTAGGAACGAACACATCTTTCGCCCATCAACCATCTGGAATGTGCACAATGGATATCCATGGAGATTCTTCTGCTCATCTTGAACAGCAAGGTGCAGGTGAAGGATGGAGTGAGTTCTACACACTGTTGCTTGATTTTTAAACTGATTTCTAATACCATTAACGTATACTTTTTAACTGCTGATCGTAGGAAGCAAGCGCGATTGTGTATTTCATCATGAAGAAGTTCAGGACGAGGTCATACTTGTACGTGCATAAGTTTACAGTTATCGATGCCATATAGTTGGTAACGTTGCAAGTTTCCATATGCAGATATTATATGTCATGTACCCCATGTCTCGAACCCTCTAATTAGTGGTCATGTTATGTGTGTAGAAATACCCGGCCAAACTTGGTCCATATGCCTCAGTACAATGGAAGGTCCTAAGAGACATAATCAGCACATGGGACGAACATAAGGAGTGCATGGAAGCCGTGCTAGGACATGCAGCAGATTTCATACCACCATGGGTGTCGGTGGATTTTGTGTATGGACTGCTTCACATCAGAAATCACTGGGTATTGGTTGCGATCAACATGAATGAATCTGAGATCCTGGTGTATGACTCCTTACCTTCGCACACTCCCATCTCGCGTTGCATAGAGGATCTGAAACCGTTGAGTCATATCATCCCATCATTATTGTATGCATGGGGATTGTTCGAAGCACCTAACAACAAACTTAGGAGGACACCGTGGCCTATATTCCGTCCATCGACTGACAACAGGCAGTCCGATGGTATAGACTGTGGTATTTTTGCCTGTAAATATATAGAGTATCTAGTTACGGGTAATAATTTAGACACCCTTGTGCAGATCAATGTACCATTATTTAAGAAATAGTTTGCCACCCAATTGTGGGTGGATGGAGCATTCTTTGAATGACAATTCCACATGCCAATAACGCACTGTTCAATTCTCTCTATCTACATTCCCTACTTCACATCTTATTCTGGTAACATTCTCGCTCTCGCTATCGATGTAGAAATACACCCATTGTGTGCGATTTAGAAATACAACTCTCGATCTTGATCACTGACGTCCAACTCTCGATCCCACACGCTAACGATCTCGATCTCGATCTAGATGTGCCATCTCTCGCTCGCAGACCAACTCGATCTAGCTGTGCAGTCTCCAACTCTCGCTTCCACACGCTTTCGATCTCGCTCTCGATCTCGATCAAGATGTGCCATCTCTCGCTCGCTAACCATCTCGATCTAGATGTGCAGTCTCTAGCTCTCAATCTTGATTACACTTGATACGTAGATGGCAATCTGTTTTGTCATATGCATTTAATGCTGGGCGACTGATTGAACAAGACGACCACCATGAACATGATTACCCATCACTTCAATTTATTGAGGTGCATGGTGAATTATGGAATGCAACAGGATGAAGAAAAAAAAACTCACAAATATCATCATTCATTCCTTCCCATTAACCCATTCAAAGCCTCGTGGAAGTTCCTACTTTCATTGGTTTGGTCCGACTGGCTACTACAACGTTTTCATTCATTCTCAGCATTCATTGCAATAGTCTGCACAGCTGCTTCCGTCTTCATTAATAGTTAGCATGATCCTCGCACCATTAATGCAACTATCGTTATTAATCTATCTTCTGAACATATGTGCATGTATCAGTTGCTTTGTGTGATTGTCTAAGCACATTGACAAAGGAGGAGCACATAGATGGGATATACGATAAGGAATGCAGCTTTAACGTAAAAACATGCGTGCATCATGACAACAACAAACCAGAATAAGCTATCTATGGAATTTAGATGTTTAGTGTCGAAATAGTTGTTATGATATCTAGTTCGATAATGAGCGAGATCGAGAATTAGCGACTTATAGAATGAGCAAGAGCAAGATTTAGTTAGATAGAGAATTAGCGAGATTTATAACTAGCGAGAGCTATATTCAGCGAGATCGAGAATTATGTAGAGAATTAGCTAGATCGAGAATTAGTTCTAGAACTAGCTCGATCGAGAACGATAGCGAGACAAATATCAACGTGGAATTTCGACACGTATTGGTTCTGCTTTTCTTCTCGTGCTGTTCCAATGTATGAACCTAATGTTATCTTCGTTTGGTATTGTTCATAGGATGGAATGTGGAAAGAGCCTGTTCGTGAGATTTAGTGGTACGTGGGATGACAGTACGAATACGTATAAAGATGGTCATCTCAAAGGAATAATTATCCCTCCTACCGTGACGTACGACGGATTGAAAGCGTGGTTATACAAAGTGACGAAAGTCAGCGTGGTCGACTACGATATCGTTATACGAGTGCCATATAATTTGGCATGCACTTCACCACCAATGTACATAACCGACGACGATGACCTCCGATTCGCAATACTCCAAGAACAGATTTCAAAGGTCCCTTTATTTGTATCAACAACACCACGGACTGGCATTGACAATGACTGTGCAGTGAACGTTTCGGATGATAACGGCAGGGTTGACGAACAGTCGTGCGGAGTTGGATTGTTACAGCATCGTGATGTATCCAGCGTTAGACTGGGATCGCCTAATGCTAAGTACGAAGATCGAGATGAGATCATAGAGGCATTTGAGTGTGGACTCAATGTCGAAAACATGCTCCCAATTGCAGTGTAGCCTGCATATATAAACAGGACGTTGAATTTGTCACCCCCCCCACAAACCATTCCAGATGTATTTGAAACCTCGTCAAATGGAATGGACATTCCCAGTGAAGTATCAGATATAAGTTCGGGACCGTAGACCGAACGCCCAATGGCTACCGAACGAAAATGCATAGAAGCCGTCAATGGTATTCGTCATAGAGAAAGAGGTGAATCAACACATCCAGTGGTTGACGAGAATCCCATGATATATAGCCTTCTCCTCGGCGGGACTGAATTACACACAGCAAGATATTCGTTTACAAACAAGACTTGTGTATGGTGCTGGCTAAGGTACATCGATGATTCATGTATATGGAGGGTTGTAGCCCACACAGTTGGAAAGTCTTCGATATTTTGTATATCAAAGTACATTGCTGAACACACATGCTCAGTCGACGTCCTTAACCATGACCACCGGCAGGGCAGCAGTTGGGTGATAGCGAATCTTATAAAGGATAAGCTTACCGGAACTAGTTGCATCTATAGAACAAAACATATTAAGGAGGATGTCCGGAAACAATGCGGCGTGAACCTAAGTTACTTAAAGGCCTATCATGCACAGGAGTTAGCGTACGCTATGTTAAGGGACCAGCCAGAAGACTCATACGCAGACCTCCATGCGTATGACGAGGCACTAAAAATAGAAAATACTGGCACAGTTTTCCAGGTCCAAACCGATGTGTTTGGTAACTTTAGATACATGTTCATGGCAATGGGGGCAAGCATTAGAGGGTTCAAAACGACAATCCGACATGTACTTATGGTGGATGACACTCACTTGAAAGGTAAGTACAAAGGAGTTTTGCTTTTGGGTGTAGCGATGGACGAGAACAATCAAATTTATCTAGTTGCCTTCTCGATCGTTGACAACGAGAGTGATGCATCTTGGAAGTGGTTCATGCAAAACTTAAAAGACATAATTGGAGAACTAGACGACTTGGTGTTCATATCCGATCGACACGTAAGTATCACAAACACAACTACTCAGATGTTCCTGGGTGCATTTCATGGTATATGCACTTACCCCCTAACGAATAACATTAAATCTCGTTTCAAGAACAATACACTGACGAAATTGTACCAAGACGCAGCTGCAGCATATCATGAGTCAGTATTCAAGTACTATTGGAACCAGATAGTATCAGTTGGAACTGGTTCATTGGCTGAATACTTACAGGAGATTGGTGTAGAGAGGTGGGCGCGGTACTACCAAGTAGGTAGAAGATATGAAAATATGACAACCAATAGCGCATAGTC